AACTTGACTGTAAAAGACTCCCTTTGAACTTTACGTACATCAGAACATGACTTAGATCAAGGGAAAAACAGATGCTTTTTCAAGTGTCTAGATGACGTTCGTCACTGCAAAAAATTATCAAAACACCGAACAAATAAATCTTTGAAGAAGTTTGAATTTACTAGCGGATGCAGTATTTTTGTTTTTGCAGTTCACAGCTGGCCAAAAAACATTGTTTAGGGTGACAATGAAGAGATGTTGAGGACACCGTTGAGTGGCGTCTCGTAGACTTGAAAACGCTGTTGCATATGAAAAAAGGTTTAAAGCAGAATTCGTCGAATATTTGTAGAAATCTGAAGGACTTCCGCTGCAAGCAAGTTCAGCTTGTCTCCGACAAACTGGAAAATCTGTTCAGGAGCTACTCCACTGACTGCTGATTTCTTTAACGAAAAATTCTGTATCAAGTTTGCTGGCATATGCCGTTGTAAGTGGTGTTCTATTACTTCAGTATTTCCCAACGTTTTCTAACAAAATGCTCGTCCCTAAGACTGTTTTCTACTCCTTTTTGTCACTGTCCACCATTGCGTCTGTTCTAAACTTCATTTGGCCGAAATTTTATTGCAGCTTTCAAAAACGATCATAAATCTTAGCGTGTTCAACAGTCACCTTAAGGTCTCATCGCACCCTCAGCGCCTCTAAGAAATCAACATCTCCTCGGGCATTACTATTTTAGCAATTTAAAGTCAATGTTGTGAAATCATGCCCACTTTCTCTTTACCCCCTTTCTCAGCTGCGTGTCCGTGATTCAAGAGGATTTGAAGGTTGGAGTTGTAGCTACCATCGGGTTTATTGTGTTTAGTTGTCAAAGTTGGAGGTGTTCTTAAACTTATCATTACAGTAAGAGACTGTCCGATTTGTCAGGATCTAACCATTGTGCTTAAGAACGTGTAAATGCGTGCATATGTACTGGTTTTGAGGCGGAATATCAGACAGTTGCCGAATCAAATTTTCTTTAATTTGATACGGTTCAGTTTAAATTTAGAAGAACTGAGCACGTTAAGACAGCTAGAAAGGATAAAGTCAATTTATCAAAGTAAAGAAGGAAGCTACATGAAACACTGTCGAAGCTTTTGTGCTTTCACTGAATGTGAGGTCTTCATGCCGTCCTTCTCAAACCATTCGACAAAACGTTGCTACAAGCTTACACTAGTGCCGTTTTTAATCCACCCGAAAAAATTGATTAGAATAAAAAAGGCAAAACTCAAAAGACTGGAGAAAGATGTAAGTGTAAAGTCTTCCAAAGGGTTACACTTCTGCAGATTCAAAACGGTGCACTGCTGACCGGTCATAACTTCAAAACCCGTGAAATTTTTAAATTACGGGGTATGGCTTAAACTATGAACCCCTTATCGGTTTCAAAATTTTTCTATTTTTTGTACTGTTGTAAACTGTGGCGGTTCACATTTCTCTTGCTCTGCGTAAAATTAATTTGTGGTGGCAGTCTTTTCATTATTTTTCGGCTAATGCAGATGCACGAAAAATTAACCTTCGAGTATACGAAAAAAACTGAACCAGGCTAATTAAGTTGCTTTTTTTAACTGTGACAGAAATTTATTTCTTCGTTGGTTTATGCTAGAAGTTTGAAAAATTTCGAAGTGTTTTGATTTGTTATATTGTTATCTTGAAGGAAGTCATTGGAAGAGGAAGTCGAAAATAATAATAAAGGTATGTGAAGAGTAAATACAGGAATTAGTACACTGTATTATCCTCACTGACCGCAACTGTTTTTTAAGGTTGAGAAGTAAATAAATTTGGTACTGTTATGAAATGGATTTGTAAGGTTTCCTCATCAGCACATCCATGGTTTTATTGTGTTTCGTCTAAACTTTTGCATAAATTTTTGAAGCTTGTGGTTCAGCCTGTGGCAGAAGAATTAGTAAACGGCATGCTCAGAGTTACAGAAGTGCTCTAGCTGGGCTTAAACTTTCGAGTTTTATATGTAGTCGAAAGTTCTGCAAACTACTAGCAGCGCGAAGAAGACATAGTAAAAAAGAATTTATAGGCAAGATTCGTTTACATTGGTAATAAATAAGCATTAAATTTATATTAATAAGGTCAGGTCCCTCCTCGATAAGATGGTTTTTTGCCACTGTTATTTGTTTGGCATCCAAATTGTCCTCGTATTAATACCGTCTCTTCAGTAGCCTAATCTCTTTTTCGGTCGGCTGACAAATGGCTACAAAATTTTGTTATCTTAAAGCTTAAAAGAACTATTATAGGCGTCTGGAGAGCTTTAATGAGGCCAAGCTGATTTTAAGTAAATTTCTAGCTGTTTTTCTGTAACTGTTTAGTATCAGTAACAAGGTGGCGAATTTCACGACTTCCATTTCGTAAGTCAACATAGAAAAGTACATTTGGCATCTCGTCTTTAAACTGTTGAATGCATCTACGCTTTATTTTCTGTTTCGCTCCTTTAACGACTTCTGCATAGAAAACGAAGAATTGAACTGTTTGTTCAAAAAAAACCCAACAATTATGTACAAAAATCTTCCCTTTATAATCGCCGAATTTTGTTTAAGATTTCCATTTTTCATCTAATAAGCAGAATCATTAGATTTTTTTGTTAAAAATAAATTTTGGAAACATTTTTTGGGCACCGGTTTCAAGTTGATGACCGAGCGCAGCTTGGTTTTATGGCATTTATTGCTTTTTTAAACATATGTATTTTTTCAGGAGCTTGAAGCGTCGTACAAACACTGATATCAGGTCTATCACAGCACTATGAAGCGAGATAACACTGACGCTACGGGACAATGATAATACGTAGAAAAAAAGTGCTGATTGGTTTTTTACCAATTCGGAAAATGTGGTGGCTCTGGCCAACATATCCAACATTACGTTGCTGCTGTGATAAGAACTGCTTTTATGAATTATTAGCTTTGCTGATGCGGTTGCCAATTGCATTATCCAAAAAGAATCATGAAAACAATTGCATTTTATACGTTGCTCAAGACCTTTAGCTTTTCAGCTCATTTTCTGAATCAATTAAATGTTTAGAAATGATGATCTGCTAAGGACCGCTATAAAAGTACTTGTTTTTTCAAAAAATTGTACAACGGATACAGAACTTTTGCCACAGTGCCTGTCCCATTCAGTTCTTAATGGGTCTTTACAGTGGTTGTAAGCCTAAGAGGAGACCAAAACCCGTTCGATCGGCTTTGATAGGTGGTGATGTCAGTTTTATCTCTCAATTATCGCTCCTCGTTTGGGTTCTTTCTGTTCTAAAATGTAAATTTGGGTTTTCTAAGTAAGGCAAGGTTGTGTATTATCGGCAACCAACAAAGCCTCCTCTGTTAGATCTCGTTAAGACCATGTATTTACATATTTTAACAACAGCCGAAATGTTTCATAACCTTGTTTCCATTTTCGATACTTTTTGTTTTATTTTTCTTTTTGTTTGAACGGTCTTTAACTTAATATCATTCCATTTCTGCAGATTTTTTGAAATACAGTATATAACTCTCCAAAAATTTTTGCTTTTTGACTGATATTAAAAGTACTCTGATAATTTTTTCCTACTTTTTTTCGTTAGAGGCAGGTGTTTTGCCGCAATAATCGTGAAACTTTAGACATTTTTTTAAATTTATTCTTAAAAATTTTTATAAATACCTTTGCAGTCAAAATGTTTACAGACTGGCAGTTTAATGCTTTTTTAAATTTTTTGTTATACTTGATGAAGATTTTTTAAATTATATTAATTGGTTTTTTAACTGTTATTTTTACCTCGGACTTCTGCAGAATCTTTTCTGATGTCATAAATTCAGTGTTTCCAAAGCGTTATTTCGCAGTTAAGGAGCACTGATTTCATTGTTGAGCACGTCATTCTTAAGGTAATATTAACTCATAAGAGTATGCTATATTTTAATTTTCTTTTTACTCTTCGGAAGTCATTTCTTTTGAAAAATTTCTAAGCGGACAAAAATCATTTGATTTTTAATTCATTCGTGTAGCACCTTGCTCTACAAGAATGAATTAAAAATCAAACATTTGGCTTCAGTGAATTGAGGCTAGGACAAAAAAAAAAAAAAAAAAAAAAA